TCTCCAGTGGCATTCTTTTTCACATCATCTCAGCACCCATACCTGTGGTTGACACCGTCTTCATCCACAACTCTCTCGCTTCTGGAATAATGAGCTAAGACAACTCACAACTGTTTCTTCTCTGTTTTCATCCAAATCCCCTGTCACTTGACCACTGGCCTTTCTCTGTGTCAGTCACCCCTGTTTGCTTCCTTCCCAGCCCGTGGAGCCACTGGTCCGTAACCTCACTTCTTCACTGCCGATACTCACCTCTCATGCCCCACTGTCCTTCCGCCCCGTGGCTGGGCACAACCCCCATCCTGGATGACTCTACTGGCCACCTTCTCCGTGCCCACGGCATGGCTGCTGGAGAAGCCACACAGTGGAGCAGAAGTGGCACCCAGACACCAGTCCCACCAGGAGCCCCCTCACGTCATGACACCTTCTCGAATCTCCAACCTTTCCACCTGCCACTCCCTCCTCCCCCTCAGCAGGTGGCCTCACTCCCTCCCACAGGGAAAACTCCTCTGCAGGAATGCCCTCGACCTCCTGTCACCAGGCACACACACTGACCTCCTGCACCTCTTCCCTCGGGTCACAGTGGGAGGGGCATCTGCGTCTCCTCCTAACCAAGCCGCTGGACTCTCACCATCTCCTTCTCATCAGTCCCCCAACACACTCAAGTTGTTCTTCCCTGGACCCCATGCCCCCCTCAGCTGCTGCCCCAGCAACCCCCTGCCCTCCACCCCAGGCCTCTGGGAAGGTGTCCGGATCTGCTGTCCCCACTTCCCCACCTTCTCCCCACTCCCCAACCACCACCATCTGCCTCCACCATTTATTCAACACCCAGCAGTATCTACGAAGGGCCTACTGTGCGCCAGGCACTGTGCGAGGTCGGCTTCTTCCTAAGTCAGCAAAGATCCCCTCGTTGCTGTAATGAACACACCCTCTTGGGTTCTTAGTGCTAAACTTCCAGGGAGCATTTACCATGAGGACCCCCTGGACTGTGCCTCTGCCTCTTTGGCTGCTCTGTCTCAGGGCTCCCTCTTCCTCCGCACCCAGACCCTGGGAGAGTGTTCCAGGAGAGGTCTCCAGGATAACTCAGACTCACTCTGGACTAAAGCTTCTGTGCTCTCCGCCACAGCAATTATGGCCACTGCCGTTGAGTAATGAATGACATCGTTATTTGCTTAGGGACGGCCTCTCCTGTTAGACGGAAGCTCTTCATTCAAGGGTGGGAGTGTCTGTTTTGCTCACGAACGCTCAGCAAATTGTTGCTGGATGCAAAAGGTGGGGACCCAAGCCCGTCTTTTTCACCCTTCTAACCCCAGCACCCCATCACTGTCTGCTCAGAGGATATTTGTTGAAGGCTTACTATGTTCAAGGCTCCATCAGCCACCCTGTGTACCCGTCTCATTTAATCCTCACAACAACCTCTACTTTACAGATTAGGAAACGGAGGCCCAGAGAGGTTGTGTAACTCGTCCAAGGTCACACAGGCAGTAAGTGGCTGTATCATGATCTGATGACAGGTCTTACTCTGCAGTGCACTGAATGGTGGCCTTCCAAAATTAAGTCCATGTCCTGATCTCCAGAACCTGTGAGTGGGACCTTAATTTGGAAAAAGGATCTTGGCAGATGTAATTAAGTTAAGGATCTCGAGATGAGAGCATCCTGGATTAGGGTGGGCCCCAAACCAAGGACACGTGTCCTTAGAAGAGAGGAGAAGAGGCACACAGAGAGGGGCCCCATGAGGGCAGAGGCGGATACACCCCTAAGGCGGCCGAGGATCGCCCACAGCCACCAGACGCCAGGAGAGAGGACTAGAGCAGACTCTTCCTCAGAGCCTCCAGAAGGAACCAACCCTGCCAACACCTCCGTTTCAGACTTCCGGCCTCTAGAACTCTGAGAGAATAAATTTCTGTGGTTTCAAGCCACCTAGCTTGTGGTAATTTGTTACGGCAGCCCTAGGAAACAAATACAGACCCCAAACCACATGGCGATGTATCCGGTGCCTCCTCACTAGGCCTAGAAACGAGGGACCACAAGAGTCCCAGGCTGTGTGACTGCGGCCTGGTCACTTGCCTTCTCTGGGCCTGACTTCTCTGTAGTAAAACAAGTCCTTGGGACACCAAGTGTCCCTCCAACTCTGACATTCTACAACTTTCAAGCAAAACCATGAGCCAGGCAAGCAGAGCTGTGTTGGGATTTTCAAATTTATTCCAACGTACTGTTTTTTTTAAAAAATACCCTCAGGCTGAACACTCAGCCAGAGCTGTAATAAAGGCAATTCTTATACTTGTAAAAACTCCTCATTCACAGTACAGATGTAATTTACAGCAAGTCACACATATCAATACTGAGCACTTTTTCCTTTTGTACGTCAGACTCTGTGCTTTAGACCTCCATGGATTTTTTGTTGAGTTTTTTTCTTTTGCACTGATATATACCATACTGACATTGCAAGGTGCAAGTGTAGAAACTGGAATTTAAATAAAATTACAGGCAAAACTACCCCATCCAGTGTGGCGGCTGTACATATCTACAGTATGACTTTTGGAATGTATTGCCATGTAAAACATAGAACTCTCTACAGACAATTTCACGTATGGCATACATACACCTTTTAGAAAAAAGGCCAATAGTTATCTTACAGACAGCGTGTATCTTACATTTGCCTACACGTTTCTTTTTTCCGTTTCTTTTCTCTTCTTGCTTGAACACTGGGTTTAGTAAAGTGATCGTAAGTGGCGAAGTGGGTCGCCCATGGAAAGCGGACGGGGTTCACGACAGAGAAGCAGCATTTGTGGAACAGGCCTTCGGGGACCTTCTCACCTTGGTCGATGCTGCAGATCTGTCTCCAAGGATGGCTGCCCTGGCAGGACTTTGCTCTAAGAAGGATTTGTCTGGAGAAAGGACTAGAGAGCAATTCAGCTCAGCTATATTGCTTGTTCCTGTTCAGAAGGGCCAGGTGAGAATGGAGCCGGGGCTAGAAGGATCTGGAAGCGAATTCTTTGAGACCTGTTCCTGCAGAGGAGGCAGAAAGACTTCTGGGTCTGGAAGTTGGAAGTGGTGGAGGTGGGGGAGTGGGCCCTTCACTGCTGTCAGCCTCCTGAAGCGCCTCAGTGGTGGGGTCAGACTGTAAGCCCCGGGTGTCAGGTCGGGGTGGGGGGACAGGCCTGGGGAAAGGAGCCTCAGAAAGGAACAGGGTTAGTACCCAAAATGACTCTGAGCTTGCTGAGGGTGCGGGGCATCCTGGAGGGTAGGCCTGGGGGCCAAGTGGCTTGGAATCCCCAACAGAAGGCAAGGGGTGGCTCTGAAACCTCGTCAAGTTGCTTCCCCGCCACTGACAACCCCCAAGGACCAGAGCAGACCTGGACCAAGGAATGGCCATCCCGCACATTTCAACAGAGCATGTGACAGGCGTCCCTGCCAAGTCAGCTCTACTTTCTCCACCATGTCCCTTAACGGGGACAATAACATCATAGGTGAACTGGAAATGCGGAAGTAGCTGGGAACAGGGCAGGGGCCCCCAGGGAGAGCACGGAGTAAGAGTCTTTCCAAATTATGAAGGTGTGCATGTGGGCTGGGGCTCTGTGCTTGGGGGAGTGGGTATAAAGTCTGGCAGAGGGGGTTAGGACTGTGCCCAGTGACATATGACCCAGGCCGGTGGCATTGATTCCATCCCTCTGGGCACCTGTGTGTGGGGCGGTCTTTGGGCCAGATTCTGTTTGCGCATCATGTCCCTGTCATTGAGAAATGGGTCCCCTCTGCCTGTGCCTGTGGGCCCGAGTGGCCCCGAGGACTCTCCCTGCTGGCCACACCATCCATGACTAGGTCTCTCTGGGAGGAAACCTTGGTGGGTGGGCTGTCCGAGTACAGGGGGAAGGATGCACAGGAGAGCTGGGGGGACAGCGCGGGTGGAAGGGCGTGGCCACTTCCAGGGCAGGAGCTAGTCTGGCAGAGCCTCAGGCTGCTTCCTAGGTCTGGGGCTGGAAGATCTCCCCCGGAAAGATTTCAAACCTGGGTTGAAGCAATGCCCTTCATCCAGCTCCCAGGCCTCAGTGCTTAAAGTCTCCAGTCATTGGGCAGCCCGAGGGGTTAGGGCTGAAAAGTGAGGGGGAGGAAAGCCCTGGCCTCCGACCTGGGCTGTGACGGGGGCCTGGGCTCCTTCCCACTTCCTGCCAGGCCAAATCAGTGCTTGCCGGCCTTCTCCCAGAGTGGGCGAGACCCCCAGACTCTGGGTCAGACAGCTGGCAACCACTTGATAACCCCACCCCCAGCACTCGGGAGACCAGTGGACCCCCAGGGAGGCCTTTCCCTATTGTCCTCCTTTTGTCTTAGCTCTGAGAGAGGCCAAAGGGAAATGAACAAGTTGGTCTGGCTGGAGGCTGGACCTGTGTCTGGTTTGTCCACCCAGCAGGGGCCAAGCAGGGACAGCCCTGAACTGGTGGAAGAGGGAACTATGGTGGAGCGTGGGGCACTCGCGGAAGGGCCTCGACCCTCCCCACTTACCGTGTCCTGTCTAAGCAGCCTCAACAGCTCAGGAGCCCCTACAGGCACGGGACTCGTGCTGTCTGCTGAGGACCAGGGACAGGCCCGGGGCCCCTGCCCCATCAGCACCAGCCTGGGTGGGCCATGACCGTGGTCCCCTTCCTTTCTCCCCCTTGTAGAAACTGAAGGAACTATTTCTGGAGGGTGGGGAAACCTACCTCTCCCAGGGCAGCGAAAACACGCTGGAGTCAAGTGCATATTTCAACTGGGATTTTAATTTCTGGTCACATTATTGTTCTTACAAAGCAGCTTTGTGTCCCAGGAAATGCAGGGCAGCTTCTTGAAGAAGGAAATGGGGACGAGGAAGGAGACACTGGCTAGTACTGATTGCTTTGGGGAAGAATTCAAATGACTTAGGACAACTGAAAAATCTTCTAAGTCAAGAGAATCTGAGGAGGCTGGAAAAAGTATCAAACACAAGCCTGTCTTTCTAGATTTACATATATATATATATTTTTTTAATTTAATTTTTTAAAAGAGATTTAAGTCAACAAACAGGCCTGGGCAGTTTCCACCAGTCACGGTTTTGGGTCCTTCCCGGGGGGAGTGGAGGCCTGACAGCGTGGGGTGGGGACGAGGGAACCGGTCCTGCTGTGAAAAGGTCCAGAAACGGGTCTCTGCGAACGTCCAGTGCAGAGCGCCGGAGGAGCCCAGCCCAAGAGGAAATAGGGCCCTTCGTACCCCAGGGACCATATGTGGCACGAAACCCAAGCCCTGGCCTCAGGAACGGCAAGGCTACACACCTTGGATCTTGACCCCTAAGGGCCAGGCCTTTCAGCCTTGTAGGTAGTTTCTAGAGCAAGGAAGGCAGCCTGTGGCCGGGGCCCTGAGAGCAACACCTAGGTGGGGGTGCTCAGGAGCTAGGAGATGGATGGTCAGGGCTCCTTTCCCAGCCCAGGGGCTAGCGGTGGGGACGTAGAGGAGAGATGCTGGGGGCCAGGAGGGCAAGGGGGATTTCCACGGGTCAGAGGCCAGGATGGGCCCATGACTCAGACCACCTGGGCATCTGGGAGCCCCGGGGGAACCAACCAGCTCCTACCTTCTACCTCCTCCTATTATTTTGTGTTGAAATCCTAGGAAAAGTAACATTTTCTTTTTCTTGGGGAAAAGAAAGTTGGAGTTTTCTGGGCCTGCCCGTGGAGGCTGAGTGGGGTCTCCCTGCCTGTGTCTATGTCCCTCTGCCTTGGGCTGCTGGCCCTTCTGCTGGCAGAGAGGGGTGGCCACTAGCTGGGGTGGAATAAGCAGCAATAAATAGGAACCATAAACATCTATACGTAGGAGTGCTTGCTTTTACATTTAATTATATGTCTTTTAAAAGTTTCTCGGTTTTTCTTCTCCCTCAGTGCATCCCCTTTCCCTCAGCAAATAGCCACCTCTTGCCAGCCTTGGGGTTTGGCTGCCGACTGCAGTGGCCCAGGGTAAGGCCTCACCTACACCCTTTCTCAAAAAAGCACAAAATATTCACAGCCTCAAACTCCTCGTGAGTTTGTATTTTTTTACGTGTGTGTTGTGTTTGTTTCTTTTCAAGCAACAAAAGATACATAAGAAGGCACAGGTAACTGCATATGTGGGAAGATATAACAGATGGGGGCTGGGCAGGAGCTGCTTAGACAGATGGACAGACGGAAAAGGGAGCTCATGACAGCAAGATGATTCGAGGAAGTTGGCCGGAAACGTCTGTTGCCGAACACTGGAAGCCAGATGCAGAAGCGGTTGGAGAGAGGCTAAGTGCTCGGGGGGGCCCTGTCCTTGGGCTGGTGTGGAGGTGCCCCAGGCCCCCCACTTCCTGAGGGCTCGGGGGAGCCCTGACTGGTCCTGGGTTCCCCAGAGAGGTTCCTCCTCCGGGCTGGGAAGCAAGCGGAGGCCTCCGCCAGGCAGCCCACAGAACTGCTGCGGTCCAGTGGCGGGGGGGTGGAGGCCGCGGGGTCGACCAACGTGCGCGGGGACTCTGCCCGGTGGCCCTGGGGTGGCTGGGGTGAGGCCTCGGGTGGGGTCCGGGGACTGTGCGTGGGCACAGGCTCTGGGGGCACCTTAGCCACACAGGGCTCCCAGTCGGGAGGTCTGCCCAGGCCCCCGCTCGTCCTCTCCCTCTCCTTGGGGTAGCCCCTGCCCTCCAGCTCCGAGGAGAGTGTGAACTTGCAGACCTTCGCCACAGGGGACACGGAGGCTGATGAGCTCTCAGTGGGACTCCAGCGGCCTTGCTCCTGGGCCTCCCGGGCCCCTGTCAGGTCGCTGCCACCCCCCAAGAAGCCGCTGACCCAGGGCGCCGTGGGCCCTGGCAGCAGGGCAGGGTGGGGCCCCGGCCGGGCCTGCACCATCTGGATCCCACCAATGGGAATCAGGGGGCACGGGGCACGGGTCAAGTGCTGGGAGTGCAGAGGGAGGTGGCTGAAGATGTTCTCCTCTGTCCGGGCCGGGATGTGGCCGTGGAAGTCATGGGAGGCAGAGAAGGGTCGGGAGAAGAGAGGATGAGCAGGGCCAGGTGAGCAGGAGGGACTTCGGGACTCGGCCTTCTGCTGGGGTCAGAAAACAAGACAGGGTAAGGCAAGGGTTTCGTGCTGGGCGCAGGGAGACCTCGAGGCCTAGAGGAGAGGAGGGGGACCACCTGAGATCACAGAGCAAGTCCCAGCTGAGCCAGAACCGAGTTCCAACTCCCTGCCCATGGTGACACCCTGTGCTGGTGCCCTCTCTGGAATGGGCCATCCCTAGCCCTATAGTGACCATGAGCACTCTCAGGCCCCCTGGTCTCCAGGCCTCTGGCCAGCATGCCTGTCTGCGGAGGACCGGGGTGGTCTGGTGAGGTGGGGCCCTCCTAGCCCCCACGCACCTGGCTCTCTATCTTGGTTCTGCTGCCTCTCCTGTTCCTAAAATGGTCTTGACCCAACTTCACCCTTGGACATGAGTTCCCACTCAATGCTCTTGGCCTTCTCCCGCCACCAGGAATTTTAACGTGATCCCAAAATTTAGAATCAAGGAAAGATTCTTAGATCATGCTCCTCCAGGAGCTTGAGTCTCTGGTGGCGATGCTGTTGGTGGTGAACGGTGGTGTTGGGTCATGACAATATGGTGACAGAAAAGGTGTTGGAAGGTGAAGGTAAGTTGTTGATGACGGCGATGTCAGTGCTGGGGGTCACGACGGTGGTGACAGGGAGGGTGTTGGATGTGATGGCGGTGACAGGGAGGGTGGTGACAATAGTGATGGTGACTGTGCTGATGATGTGACAACACTGATCAAGCTGACAGGGTGGCGGTAATGGTGTGCTGGAGTGTGGTGATGCAGAGATAGCATCGGCGCTGGCGACAGTGACGGTGCTGATGGTTTGGCAGGCATGGTGTTGGCTATGGTGTCTCTGAGGGCTCTGGTGACAGTAGTGTTGGAGATGTGATCATTTTGGTTAAGCTCTGCCATCTGCACAAAGAACACATGAGGATGGGGCGGAAGGAAATGGCAGACGTATTTACATGCACATCCAAGGCCACACCACTGGTGAGTGGTAGGACCTGGACTTAGTCCTGGGTAGTCCAGCTCCAGAGTCCATGCCCTGCTGCTTTTGAGGCTAAGTTAGCTGGTTTCGGGCACCCGTCATGCTGCCTGGCATAGAGGTGTCCAGTAAACGTCTGCTAAGTTAGCAGTGGCCCCTGAGCCGGCAGGGCTGTTAGCTCCAGGAGTGATGCCTCGGGGAGGAGGGGACTTGTAGCCCCCCACCCACCAGGGAGAAGTGGCCCAGCCACTTGGGGCAGGAACTCACCCACGTGGAGGCGCAGGTCTCGGGACTTCTGCCGAGAAGCATGTGAGGTAGAGGCACGGGTGGATGGAGAGCCCGTGGGGCCAGCCCCGAGCCTGGGCCATGCTTGCCCGTCGTGGGGCTGCCCGGCCCAGCCAAGGCCCACTTCCCGGGCAGCGCTGACCATGGTGGTGACTCGGCCTGGCCTGGAGACCATCTCCGGGTGGGCGAGTGTCTGCGGGAGCCTGGGTCTGCGGCACCCTCGCGTTCAGGGGGCAGATGTGCTTGAGGGGGCAGTTCCCGTCCGAGGGGGTGGGAGGTGAGAGGAGACAGCTCGAGTCTTCGAGACCCGCAAGGGAGAGGGCCCTTTGGGGGGCTGGGCGGGCTCAGGGCTGAGGCCTGTGGCTCTCGGGCCGGTGACCGTCGCTGGGGAGACGAGTCGCTTTTGGTCAGTGAGTGTTTGTGGGCGAGTGGCGGGTGGCTTCCCGCTTCTTTGCTCGGGGACCACAGCCTTCTTGGGGACATGGCCTTGGAGCTCAGGGCTGAGCCTGTGTCCTTCTCCATCGGGCCAGAAGGGGCTAGTCCCAGCCGGGGGAGGCACAGGATGCTTTGGCTGGATGTGGAGCAACCTCCGGCTGTCAAGTGCTCGGCTTCCGAGACTGAGCTGCCCCACGTGGCCTGGTTGCCAGAGGTGGCATCTGGGGGTGGAGGGCCCTGAACGGGCGAGGAGTCTGCCGGCAGTGTGGCCGGTGGGCCGGGTGGGGGTGCCTCTGAGGACGGTCCTGATGGCTCGTCCTGGCTCTCCTCCTCGTCCTCATCCTCATCTTCATCCAGGTCCGAGTCTGAGTCTGAGTCCTCCAGGTCTGAAAACTGGTGCTCTGCCACGGCCTCTGAGCCCTCTCGCCCTTCCGAGTCCTGGAACAGGTCGTCACTGGTTCCTGAGGGGCGAACACAGGAGAGCCAGGGTCACAGCCAGCCCCACGGCACTTCCTCTCTAAGCCCCAGTGTCCTCGTCTGCAAGCTGGGCCTGAGAGCCATGGCATCGGCACAAGATTGTCGAGAGGATGAGGGACGTGACAGACATGGGGACACTTTGTAAATAACCGCAGTGAACAATAATTACCTTGTCTCTACCATCACCAGGTTCAGTTCTAAGAGCTTCATGCGCATTAATTCATTCAGTCCTCAAACAATCTTGTGAGGTCAGCACTATTGTTACGGTCGTGTTCCAGAGGAGGACACTGAGGTGAGAGAGATTCAGTGACTTGCCCAAGTAAGGTAAGTGTAGGGCTGGGATTGAACCACAGCAAATAAGACAGGCCTTGTTGGTTTTTTTCACCAGTATTTCAGTGCTGGCCTAACTATGAGTAAGGTAAGGCACCTTGCTGTGCCTCAGTCTCCCCCTTTGTCAAATGAATGTGACCGTCTCACCTCATAAGGTTTGCAAAGAGGAGTAAATGCATGCCTGGCACAAAGCAAAGGCTCAAATAATTATGGTCACTCTTAACATATTCCTGAAGAAATCTATTATTCCAGGACCCAGGGGCCATGCTGGCTGGTCCAGCAGCACTGAGCTGTGGTCAGTCTAAACACACACCTGCCACTATGGCCAGGCTGCTGCAGACTGGTATGGCACCTGGCAGGCCCTGGCCTCCGTGGGGTTTGGCTAAGTGGCCTTGGCCGAGCAGGCCCCATCCCAGCCACTCTTGTCCAGAGGAGCTGCTGCCCTTTGCAGAACCCATGGGGGGTGGAGCTCTGAAATACCAGCCTCCTGGTCTGGCTTCTGGTGGGGCAGCCCCAACCAGCTGGGCCACCTCTATCATGATGTGGGTCTTGCCTGGCCGTCTCTGAAATGGGCAGCAATCGGGACTCTGGGGTGAGCTCTGCTAACATCTGGCCCACCTTCCAGACTCCTGAGGGTTTGGGGCCTACTGGCCCATTGCCAGGTTCATTGCCAGCCCCACCACCTCACTTGGACACACCAGTACTCACTCCACTACTGACCAAGAGGGCTAGACACACAAGCTGACTCAGGCCACTAGCACAACCAGGCGTCCGAACCCCACCATGCCGAGCTGCCCTGGGGCCAGAAAGCACCGCATTCGTGCTTCTAAATAGCTCAGCATGCGGCAGGAAGATGCACGAAATGGACAACAGTGGGCAATCAGGAGGATGCAGGTCCAAAACCATGGGGCGGAGCTGGGGCTGGCAGGTGAGGGGAGGGCCTGGTGCCAAGGGCGGGGTCTGCCGGCTGCTGGGAGAAGAGTGATGAGAAAGGAGAGGGACCAGGGCTTGGAAAGGGGTGGGATATGAATGTGGGGTGCAAAGCAGCCCCAGGCATTTACTTCATTGCCTATGACTCAAGGGGGGGCCGCTTCAGCCCCAGGAGTTCACTGCCTCACCCTTCATTTCCATATGGGGAAATCCAGGCCCAGAGGGGGCAAGTGCTGCCCCGAGATAATTCGGGGAGTAGTGGCTGAGTCAGGACTAAGGCCTACAACTCCCGCATTCTTACACTGCCAGTTTACAAATGATTTTACGCATGGAGAAGCAGGAAACGGCCTGGGCTTGAACCCCAGCTCCATCCCTTCCTTGCTCTATGATGTTGGATAACTTACTTTCTCTCTTCTGTGTTCAGTTTCCTCGGCTGTAAAACGGGGGTGAGAGTAATAAAAGCCACCACGTGAAGCTGTTGGGAGGACTATGAGGGTCTGACACAGTATTTACCCAATAAACCTTAGCTATTATCATCTCAAGTACCCCACAACCTCAGCCGACAGAAAGCATGGGGAGCATTTCACAGTTGAAGGTCAGAAGGTAGTGATACTAGCAGGGAGAGTCAGGCCCAGCGTCTCCTAATATCCAGCAGGGAAGGCTCCTAGAGACCCTCTGGGCCCTTTGAGGCCCAGAGAAGGGCAGTGGCCCGCCCAAGGCACCCAGGGCAGGAATGATGGAAGCTGTGGGTCCCCTGCCCAGCACAGGGGTTGCCAGGCCCCCACATCTGGGCTCCTGCAGGGCTCTATGAGATGCCCCTGCCCGGGTGGCCCATTCCCAACGCCCTCCTGGAGTTGCTGGCTACTGCCAGGATCACCGCCAAGGCTCCACCAAGCCCCGCCTGCCCCGGGTCTGGGACCGCGGAGGAGACGGAATGAGGGCGCCGAGGGGGTCTGGCCACACGGTGGCACTGGTGCCCAACCTCCTCACCGTCAGGGGCGAGGCTGCGGTGCTGGCCTGGCCACCAGGAGGCAGTCGCCCCTACTAGGCTGCGCTCCTGATGGCCACTTCATGTCTAACAGACATGCTCCTCCCGGAATCTGTATCATTGCGGGAAGTGGCGACTCCATCCTTCCAGTTTCTTAGGCTATAAACCTCGGAGTCACCCTTGGCTCCTTTTCTCTCATGCCTCGCCCCCCGCCCCCTCATGTGTCAGCAAAACCTGTCAGCTCTCCCTCTGGAATGTCCCCAGAATCCCAGCACTACTCCACCTCCTCTCAGCCCACCCGGCCCAGGCCAAGGTGCGCTCAGCCTGGATCTCTGCCTCCAGCCGCGCCCCTATGGGCCGTCCTCTGCACACAGCCAGATCCTGGAAAGGCAGACACGCCACTCCGTTCCTTGACCTCCAGGTCCCCAGGTCTCCCTGACCTCCTCTCTCTGACTCTGGCGCCCAGCGGCTCCGCTCTTCCTTCTTCGGGAGAGCCCCTCCCCAGCCCCCAGCTGATTTCCTGACCCCTGGCTTCACCCCCTCTGCTCACACACCCGAACAGAGAGGTCCCTCCCCACGCTTCCCAGCCCTCACACTCGCCCCTGCCCTCTTCCACATTGTGCACTGCCCCAATTCCCTCTAGAATGTGGGCTCCCTGACCACAGTTTTATTTGCTGCGGAATCTCCAGCACCTAGAACAGCCCGGAACAGGGCTGGTGCTCAGAAATTATTTCTGGAATGAATGCATTGATTTTATCCTCAAATAAGGTGGGGACGCTCATCCTTTTTTGCCTCATTGGGAAAATGAGGCTGGGAGAGGGGCAGGGACCAGCCTCGGGTCCCTCAGAGGACCTTGGTTGCTGCCAGTCACCACCTCCTGACGCCCACCCAGGGAGGGCTCAGCCTGCCCTGTCCAGCTCCCCAGGCATTGGGGTGGCATAGAGCCTGCATTTCTGTGTGATCTTGAGCACGTGCCTTTACCTGTCTGAGCTTTGCTTTCCTCGACTTAAAATGTTGTGACACAAGTTTCTATCACCAGCTATGAGGACTCAGGGAGACATCTGTAAATGGTCTGATGTACATTCTTGATAAGCATGGTAACCCCACATCCTCATTTTGGGGGGAATAGCCCCAAGTTTATTGTGTTCTGTTCAACAAAGGTGATTTATTTCGCCTAAAAGGAAATATGATCTAACTCTTTTGCAAGACTGCAAATACATCCCCAAATCAGAAAAACAAAAGCAGAACAAGATACACACACGTGCACGCGCGCACACACACACACCCTTCTTTGTCACACTCTAAGTCCTGATTCTGATTAGGGAGTCTTATCAAAGGTGTGCCTGCTACAGGAGTTATGCCAGTCTGTCCACTTGCCAAAGCCCCTCCGGCCTCCTCCCTGCATGCTGAGGCTGGGTGGTACCCAGCTAGACCCACCTCCCCCTCTGCCTGTCTTCTCAGAAACTGGTTCTAATGTGCCTCCTGATGATGGAGGACTCCGGCCGAGGTGCAGTGCTGGGATGTGGAATGGGGCTGGCAGGTGACAAGGGGCTGTCAGGTCTTGGCTTTGGCTCTCTCGAAAGCCTCTAGCTCTAAAACGCCCAGATGTCAGGCCCATGCCCAGAGTGTGCAGGTGTGAGTGTGGGTGTGGACCCTCACAGTGTCATTGTGAGGAGTTGCCGAGATAATTCACGGCATGCGTTTAGAACATGCCTCACACACAGTGGTGCTCAGTCAGTGGTGACTGTAATTACTCATGTACTAATTTATTCAACATACATTCATTGAGCACCCATGGGGTGCCAGGAGCTCCACCTGCATAGTGGAGAGTGATGCACAACAGCTACGGCCGCACAGCATGTACTGTAAGTGTACGGAAAGTGGGGTGATCGTTCTGTGAATTTAACCTTTGTCTCCTAGCAGTTGGGAAAACTGGAGGAGAAGGCATGGCCAAGGGAGGGGAGGCAGGGGAGGAGGGAAGCAGGGGAGAGGAGGAGAGAAAGGAAGGGGAGGGCAAGGGGGAGGAGGAGGTGGAGGAGTGGGTGAAGGAGCAGGGGCCTGGGGAGGAGGGAGAAGGGGGAGGAGGGCGTTGGCAGCTCGGTACCTTCTTCTGCTCCCAGCTCCTCCAGCAACCCCGTCTCTTGGCACTTTTTGCTGTGGGCCTTCGACTTCATGTGCTTAGTCAGATTCCCTGGAAAGGAATGAGAACAGACTCAGGCTCGGCTAATGGCAAGGCCAGGGCCGGCCCGGGACTCACAGAGGCAGGGCCTAGCCGCTTTCTCAGACCAGTTGAGGCCCTGCAAGTGCTGGGCAGGGCCCAGACATCCCTCTGCCCAGGTGCTCAGGCTGGGATGTGCAGCTGCAGCTGCCGCTCGAGGCGGTACCAGGAGCTGGGTAGAGTGGGTGTGGGGCTGTGAGGGCACAGAGGGTATAATGAGGAAGTGAGATGCTGGTTAAAAAAACAAACAAAAAGGAAATTAAAAGACAACTCATGTGCAATAGATTTTTCCTGCTTTTGATTTAACTCTGGGCCCAGGAGCCGGTGACACTGATCAAACAGGATTATTGGTCATCTCAAATGCTGGGATGACAGCAGGGATCCCATTAACCAACATGGTGGGTGGGTACTGAGGATGCCCTTCTGGCTGAGGACACTTCTAGGGCAGACCACAGGGAAGAATCTTAGGGTTTGGGAAGAGAAACCAGGACAAAGTTGCTGCTAGAAATGGAGAGGACAGAAAGTGTAGGGAAGTCTGCTGGACAGGCACCTGCGAGCCACAAGCTGGGGCCCAAGCCTTGACTTCCTTAGAGAAGTCATGTCCTGGGCCTCAGTTTCCCCCAGTCACTGTGCATGCAGACACAGGTGGGGTGTGTGCAGGGAAGGCCAGGCAAAGGCCCTGCCCAGCAACATGCCTACAAAGCCCTCGGGGGGGTGGCTGGCTCTGCCCCAAGTGGTCAGTCCAGCCCCACAGGCTGAGGAGCAGGGGCAGGAGCTCTGTGGAATCAGGGGAAAGGCACCAACACCTTCAGTTCTCCCCAACATGTGCACAGTACTTCACAGGCACAAAGCTCTGAGGCAGGAGTACTCTGGGAGGGAGAGGCAGAGTATGCCCAGCCTGCCCCAGAGGACACAGCACAGATGTCTCAGGATGTTCCTCTGGGTCCAGGGGCCACCTCAAACTGTGACATGCTCACTGTTGCTCTGCAGATTGCTATATTTCCATATGGTCGTTCATATAATAAATCATAAGTTCCATGAATCGGGTACTCTGTCTCACTAATCTTAATTGGCAAGTTTGAATGGATGGATAAAAGAAAGAAGAATGGATTCCTACAACAGTCACATACAAAGATTGGTGGGTGGATGGATGGACGGATGGATGGATCAGTGGGTACGAGGAAATATGGAGTGAAGAAAGAACAGGAAGAAGATGGACAGGTGGATTGGACACTGGATGATTAGATAAGCAGATGGATAGACAGATGGGGGACAGATGATTAGATGGAAAAAAAATGGAAGGAGAGATGGTCAATAAACACATGGGAGGATGCAGCACTGGATGGGAGGAGACATGGATGAATGAGAGAATGGCTGGTTGGTTGGATGAATGGATGCATGCACATATATACGCCCGGAAGGGCAGACAGACAGGAAGATAAGAGAATGGGAAGGTAGATGGAAGGATGGATTGGTGGGAGGACAAATGGGAGGAACACAGAGATGAAAATAAATGGGAAGATAAATGGACAGGAAGACAAACTATTAGATGAAGGGATGGTAAAAATAGATAAATGGGAGGATGGATGGATGGAGGGATGGATGGATGGGTAGGTGAATAGGGAGAGAGCCCATGGATGAACCAAAGGGTGCTTCTTACTCATTCTGAGAATTGTAAGGAAACTTTAGGGTTTTGCTGAGAGGGTAATGGGAAACTTAAGCTGGGATTCCTTGAGGTATGTAGGTCAAGGGCGGCAGGGATGGAAGAGGAGACGTTTCTTTTCCTTGCCTTAGTCCTGGTCCATGCCTGTATCCTTCCCACCTCAAATTTTTCTCCTATAACTGGACAGAAATCTGGATCTTCACCTTCTGGCCAAAGGGGGAGCAGAGTCATAACTTCTAGAGTCATCCTGGGGCCAGAGGGTCCCCAGAGGTCCCAACCCAACATCATGGGCCTCCGCCACCACTGTCGTGAGCAGGCAAAGCCTGAGTAGGATGTCAAGGGGTGGTAAAGACAGCTGGGGTCTTCCACAGGCCAGAGATGCTAACTGTCCCCTGAGGTACTGGAACCAGCCCACTGTCCCTTGACTACCTCAGACATGGAGGACATGAATACTGTCCATTCTGGCCACGACATCATTGTTGCACATGGTCTGCCTGGAAGGTCTGGGTCTCTATTCAACCAAGTCAGGTGCGTAATAACCCCTGTGGGAAATGCTCTTCTCATCACAGAAGCAAAGTGTTGGAAGGAACCTCGCAGCCCATGAACCCAACACCCACCAGGCCCAGGGTTTTCCTGCTCTGCTCTAACTCTGGGCCCAGGTGCCACTGGACAAGAGGACTGGCTGTCCGAGGTGCTAGGATGCATGGGAGGGCTCCTGTTGACCAACATGGTGACCCAGCCGGCCAAGGCCACACTGCTCCTTAGCACAGAGCCCTGTGTGGAACCAGGTCTCAGGACTCCAACGGCCTTGCTCACTCCATACTAGCAGAATGGAACCAGGACGAGCTAGGAGCTTGAGGGTCGTGGGTGTGAACTTGGGCTCTACCACTTGCTAGCTTGCTCTTGGGCAAGTTTCCTAACTTTCTGAGCCCTACTTTCTGCGACTGTAAAGAAATACCTACCTCTCAGGGACACTGGGAGGAGGTGATGAGAAGACACATGTAAAATGGCAGCGGAGAGTGACGCCCACCACGTGGAATCTCCTTCCTTCCCACACCTGTGCAGCACCCCTCCCAAGACAGTCACTCGATGTCGAGCCCTGGGGAACTCTGCCACCTGCTGTGCTGTGTGTGGAGGAGAGGGGTGCTGAGATGATGCTTGTGATGCAGATGGCTTGACCATTCAGTCTTGGCTCAGGCTCCCAGGAGAAGGCACCAGGCAGCTCCCAACGCCTGCTTCGCCTCTGCCCCTGCCCCTGGAGGCTGCAGGGAGGAGCTGGGAGTCTGAGACAGCTTTGCCTGGACAGGCTGTGTGGGTCACAGGAGCTGGACGAGCAGCCCTGAGTGTTGCCCAGTGCCCTGCCGGACTTCCCCTCCCTGGGCCTGTCTCCTCTGTGAATTGAGGGAGTGTACCAAATGGCTGCAGGTGTCATTGTTGGCCTGGGCACTGTTTCCCTGTCAAGGGGCAGAGCCCCAGCTTGCCAAGCAGAGCCCATAGCTTCTCACAGTCATCCCAGGACCCCACCAAAAACCCCAAGAGTCTTGGAATGAAGGGGGAAAGGCAAGCGGATAGAAAATGACAGACGTCTGGAAGAGAGGCGGAACCTCCTCTGAGAACTTCAGCCAATGACCCTGTCTGCCTCGTTTGGCTTTGACCAACCGAACTCCCTCTGTCCCTGAGGCCTGATGGACGTGAGGCCTGCCCAAAACTGCCATCTGTGTCCCCTGAGGCGATCAGCACAAGGGCCTGAATATGGCACAGCCACCTCACTGGCCTCTAGGAACCATCTGAGAAGAGAAGCCCCAGATCTCCACAGGGACATCCTGGCGGGCCTTTCCCGGCCCCAACCGCTGAGACGCCCCTCAGCTAGTGTCCAGGGGCCCAAGTTGCCAGCACAACGTCTAACATGGAGACGGAGACACAGACAGGCAGACAGAGACGGACAGGAAGGACTCCTCGGGCCCAGGCGCAGCCAGGGGGTGGTGACGGAGAGCCCTGAGGACCACCAGGCTCAGCCTTAGCCCTCACACAGCCTGGCTGGGCCAGAGCCCAAGGGTTGGAGGGTTGGGAGGAGATGGAGGCAGCCTGATGGGGGCCAGGAGCCACGAGAGGAGGGGCCTGTGGTATGACTGATGGCTGACGGGCCCATTACTCCAGAAAGACACGTGGCCCACGGCCTGGAAGGTGCAAGAACCTCACTGTCCTGAGTGCAGAGAGAGCCAAGAGCCAGCTTTCTCTGCTTCAACTGCCGGCCCTCCCCCCACCCCACTGGCCCCTCTCTGCAGTCACAGAGTGTGAGATTCCAGTCTTTCAGATTCGCTCACTGCTTTGGCTCTGGAAGGTGTTGTCTTCCGGAAGCCTCTGTGAGCATCTGAGGAGAGCTCAGCACACCCCATGATGGCTGGTGGAGAGCAAGGCCTCCGGCTGGCCCAGGGCTCCATGCCCCAGGGCATGCGGAGGGTCTGCAGCCCCTCTACTCAGGTTAGGCACTCTGTCCTGGCTCAGAGGGACCCGGGAAGGGACTGCAGAGAGGCCTGGCATGGCTTCCAACGCAGGCATCTCCTGGAAAGGGGGTGTTCCTGCCAGGGACCCAGGCCTCTCTCAGACCCTGCAAAAAAGGACCAGGGCTTTTCTCTTCACAAAGGCAGAGGAACTTGAATAGAGACCTGCTGGGCTCTGACTGGGAACTCAGCCAGATGGGACGTGGCAGGGTGACGGCTCCCCGGGGCGCTGGGCAGCTCTGCACAGCCCTGGGCTGGGAGGCACTCTCAGGGCTGGGCTCCTCGTGCTGAGAGTGGCACCGTGTGGTCCCCTGGAACAGAGGCAGCATTCAGGATCCACTCTGGGAGCCTCCTGTTTGGCCACCTGATTTTACCACTCCTTCCAGAAAAGAGGGACACTGCTCACAGAGCAAGATGACAGGGGTGATGCCATGTGGCAGGGGTCTTGGGTTCTAGTTACAGCTCTAGCTTTAACAGTCAATTCCGTTTTTGGGGACCCACTTTCTTCGCCTTCAAGTGGGGCTTAGACAAGAGGTTTCTGGCGTTCAGAGTCAAAGACTCTGTTATTTAAACTGTCAGTCAATTATTCCCATCTCTCTCCTCCATAAAGTCACAACTGGCCACCTAAGGCCGAGGGAAGCGGGACTGTAGGGGACGTGTGGGAGACAGAGCCCACACCAGGACTGAGGCATGCTGGGCAAGCTGCCCCGGATATGGCAGGGCTCTGGGCCTATCTGCCCTCTCCAGGAGCCTCTGGGACACTGTTTATGAGACACCAAGAGAGAAGAGGGTCACAGCAAGAAAGTGGGAGGGTGGGCGCCTCCATTCAACCCAAAATCTTGGCGGGAAAGTTTGAGTTCCACTTGAGAATGATGGCGAGAGGACAGAGGAGGACAGGGGGTCAGTTAACCGGGTGAGGAGACCAGAGACGGGCACCCGTCTCTGAGGGTGGCCATGAGCCAGGGGATGTGATAAACTGCCCCCTGACCTAGCACAGACAGAACAGAAGGGGCCGGCAAGAGGAGGAGGAAGTGAGGAAGGCCACGACTCTGCGGGCCTCCTCAAAGCTGCTGCCCAACCCCTCTGGCTGGAAGCAGCTTTACCAACAGAAGGAAGGTCAACGCGTGGCAACGCTGAAGCTGCTGTCCAGGCCACGCACTGAAAACCACACGGCTCTAGTGGGGGCTGGCGTGGAGGCCCCCAACTTGCTCAAGGAGAAGGCAGGACCCTTATGCCCAAACCCCGGCCCCCAAATCTGCAGAAAACAAGAGGCTGAAGCCACCAGGGGCGTCGGGGGCCCCAGGCCTCCCTCTGAGGCACCTCGGTCTGCTCAGCTACCAGGAAGTAACGAGCACGCGGCAATGTCTTCCTTGCCTGTCCTGCTCCAACAGAATGAGCAGAAAAGAGCTTGGTCCAGGTCTCAGAGACTCAGCCCCATGCGTCCACACAAGGGCCCAGGGGGCTGCAAGCAGGCCAGGCCACCCCATCTCCCTTCACAGCTCTCGGGATGCACACCTCAACATCAGGCCTCCTTCCTTTCCCAGGTGACCACCAGAGCCTGAGCTGACCGTGCTGTGGAGTGTGGGTGGGGCAGGAAGGACAGGGCTGCCAGGCCGGGTCAGGGAGAGCCGGGCCCTGTGCTGAGCTGCAGAGAAGCTGGGCAGAGCGGGAACATGGTCTGAGTGGTGAGGCGGGTGGAGGCAGGGGCGAACCCTGGCACGAGAGGCAACCATGCAAGTGTGTTAAGTGGCTTGGAGTGGAATGGAATTCCAAACGCAAGAGTCGCGGTGACAAGCTTGGATGCTGGAGCTCATCAGATCCGTGGATAGAGGGCTAAGGAGACATGCACAAGGAAGGGGGGATGCGATCAAATTAAAACTGGGGACTGTGCGCAAGAGTGCCGCCTAGTGTCAACGTGGGGCAGTGCAGGCACAGCGGCTGGGTGCGATCTGAGATGGGCCAGGGCAGCCAGGGTGCCACTACCTGGTCTGGAGCCAGCTGCTCTGCCAGTGGGGAACCCAGGAAGTGGGGATACCCCAGGCCCCAGGCAGAGAGTTCTGGGCCCCTGGGCTCTGTGCTGGGGCTCCAGAGGGGAGCTCCCTGCCGTGGGCAGGGGCCGTGCCCCAGCTGACTGTCTCTTACCTTTGGTTTTAAAAGCAAAGTGACAGTGCTTGCACACATAGGGCCGGACGTCAGTGTGGGTGCGGATGTGTTTCTTCAGCATGCTGGGCTTCTTGCAGCGAATTCCACACTCCTCACAAACATATTTCCCTCGGCCGCGGCCTCGCACATAAACATACTCTTCGTTTGATTTGTACCTATGAGCAACAGGCGTCATGGTAAAGGACAAACAAAAGGAGGAGAAGAGGCAGGTTCCCACCTCAGGAGGTGCACGTGCTCCTAGCTGCATCCGGCCCGGTACAGACACTGGGAGAGGAGGACGCGGAACCAGAGCACGCCTCGGGTGGGGGTGCCAGTCGCCCTGGGGATCCACCATGGACCCCTGCACCTGCCCTGCCCCTCCTTTCCCTCCAGAGGCAGCAGACCCTGCGCTTCCTGCCAGGGAAGTGAAGCCACAGGTTTGCAGAGGGCCTTGGTTCCCGAGCCAGCCTCGGCACCAGCTTCTGCCCACAAAGAACAGCCACTCCGGGCCACCAGAGTCATAAAGAGAGAGAATAGATGACAACCACAGCTCTAGCAGCGGCCATTTACCAAGTGCTCACCGTGCGCTGGGCATTTCACCTGCTTTAAGTCATGGTCACCAGCAAGAGCCCTTGAGAGCCGAGGCTCCCACAGCCGGAAAGGGGGCAGAACAAGGATCTGAACCTGCCTGTCCGCCTCCCACAGGGGGCACCAAGTGTGCGGGGAGGTATGAGGGCCGGCCATCGTTTCCCCGTCCTCAGAGTCTGGAAACCAGGAGCCTTGCGCTCTCTCCCCTACCCCATCTCCAGCCGAGCTGGAAGCTCTCAGGACCCAGATTCCAGCTACCTCGCCTCTCCTGCGGCCCCCAGGGATCACTTTGGGTCATAGCAGGAAGTGCCAACAGTTTTCAGGAGCCTCCTGGGGTGGCCGGCCCACCTGCTGGGCCTCAGGGCCACTGACGCTCCTGGACCTGAATCAGAATGCTCTTATTTCCATTTAGAAGGAAACCCACGAGTCCCACAAGGCTTACTGGGTACAAACCTCATCAGAATGCCTTCTTGGTCTAATGCTATAGCTGTGCAAGTCTCCTGATGGGGGCAGGGAAGGCTGCCAAGGGCAATGGGCCCGGGGAAGGGATCCTGGCATAACTCCAGAAGAGCCTTCTGATTCATGAAGCCTGGAGGTCCAATGAGAGGGGTGCCTTGGGGGAGGTATGGCCTCTTGGCCTGCTGAGCATGCCTCCAACGCCCAGCAAGAAGCCTGCCTGTGCCCCACAACATGCCCCGCACAACACGCCCCTGCCCAGGGGGTCCACACTCAAACTCTGGGGGGCGGTGCAGAGGGGCAGGGAGATGGTTGGGAGTAGGTGAGGAAGAGACAGTAGCTGAGACTCAATCCTGCTCCGCCAGGGACAGCAGCTTACAGCTGAGAGGATGTCACAAGGATGGGCTTGAAAGAGGGGACTCTAAGGGAGGGGGCTGGCAGGCAGCAGCAGAGTGATCACCATCACACATACACACTCCACACACTCACACACACACACCACCTCCCCACTCTCATACTGAAATACACATTCTCTCACATGCACTCACACACTCACACTCACATACTGACACATTCACACACACACTCACCCAACCCCCACCCACACAGGAACACACCCACTCACATACTCTCTCTCTCACACACGCACTCACATACAGACTGCTGTCCACGAGTACAGGTGGAGCCTGGGTTGTTTTGTTCCCTCAGCTTTGGCCAACTGAGACCTCTCAGGTTGTCTAAAACCGCCCTTTCTTCCCTTTGCAGGCCCTGACCCGCCAGGTTTCGGGGCCCAGTCCTCAGGCAGAGAGGGCCAACTTCTCCCTTGATCTAGGGCAAAGCGCCATCTCGTGTTTGAGGGGAGGAACTTAAGGCCGTGGGGAGGGTGGGAGAAATGACTCATTTTGCTCTTATGAAGAACATCCTATGGACAAACACAGGGTGTCTGCCTCTCAGTGACAGCGGATCACCCCCATGCAGCAAGCTTCCTGGACCCGAACAAGCTACCCACACCTGGATTTTAATTCTTGTGCCCTCGGTTCCCCTGGGGCCCAGTCTGAGATGGGAAGCCCTTTTCCCAGCTGGAGAAGAAAGAGGTGAGAATGGCTGGGTCTCCTCTTTGCACTGGAGGCTCTGCCACCACCTGGACACCAACCTCCACTCGGCCCTGCTCAGCAGGTCCACGACATCCCCTCCTCTCCAACTTCCAACCACGATGGTGTCCTTCAGCGTGCCCCTCCCTGCACCCTCCTGCTGTGGGGGGCACTGTGTGGTCTCTCTCACATAGGCCCACAGCCACTCTGACTTCTACCATATTTGGGCTTTGCTCTATGCTCAAGGCAACTCAGAAGCAGGCACTAGAGTCCATCTACCGCAGCTGCTCTCAGACCCCTCATTTCTCCCTCCATAGCAGGCTTAAACTACATGTGGTCTTCCCAAAGGGAGACACACACACACACACACACAGAGGACTGTCTGAGCCTTCAAGCGTGGTGCCTTGACTTGGGGGCGGGGGGTTGGGGAGGCATATACGCAACTCTGTACAACACTTTGTCACACACCGGGGAAGGTGTGTACAACTTGCTGGGGAGCACAAGGCGGGTGCCTGGCTTGGGAGGGGCCAGGGAGGATGGTGAGCGGTGGAGGCAGGAGAGGAGGACAGCAGGAGCAAAGGCAGGAGTGTTCAAGGCCTGGAATGTTTGGTGGGTGAGAGCAGATGAGGCCAGACAGGCAGGAGAGGCTGGATCACCACTACCCTTGAATGCCACGCTAAGACGTCTAGACTTGATCACAGTTGTCTTAAAGACAAACATAAAGTCTCAAAGAGAAGATACTGCCCTGGTTCTGTGGGGAATAGTCTGGAAGAGGGAGGACTCAGAGTCTGAGCACGAAGCGCGTGCTCTAGGACAGGGATTCGAGAGGCCTTCTGGGCATAGAATCCACAGGCCTTGGCAGCTGTCTGGATGAGGCAGGGGTCACCGTGAGGGAAAAACAAAGATCCAAAGTTTTCAACTTGGCTAGCTCAAGCAGTACCATCCACAGGCTGGGAGGGAAGCAATGCAGGACCCTCATCCTTAACTGCTGAGTGTGAGATGCCCAAGAGAAAGACTTGAAGAAATGTCCAGCACACAGCTGGAAGTCTGTGGGCCTTAGATGGGATGCAGGTTTGTGAGGAGGAAGACGACCACTCAAGAGTCTGAGAACAAGAAGAGGACAGCGCGAGGGCCTGGGAGGCACCTAAATGTCAGGGTGGGCAGAAAGATGGCACCAAACCCACCCTCAGGCAGAGATCTCTTGGTTGAGAACCAGGAGAGAATGTGATGAGGAGGAGGCGGCAGCCAGCAGAGTCAATGTCATGGAGATCTGGAGGACGATGGCCACTGAGGGGTCCTAGAATTTGATGAGGGCAGTCCTGGTTGAAGGGCCTAGAGCCTGTGACTTCTCTGCTCCTTGAAGGCTGGTGCTCGGGTCTCTATAGCTTTGGGCCCAGTCCAGGGACAGACATGGGCAGTGGTCAGTGTGGGCTGGACCCTCCTCCCTCCTGAGGCCAACCCCCACCAGCTCAGGACCAGCCCCTCTCCCTGTGCTGAGGCCCCACTCAATAAGGCCCCACCTCTTCCCCAGCAGCTTCAAGGCCTCCCTCTTCTGGCGCACTCCACCACCTTGACGCAGCTCAGTTCTCTCTCTCATCACCAACCAACCAGCCCCAAAGCCTCCCCAGACCCCAACCCACTCCCTCTGCTGCCCTTCTCAGCCCAAGTCCCGAAAGAGCTGTTCCCGCCTCCTCACCACTCCCACTCCTGGGTCCACTGCAGCCCAGCTCTGCCAAGGTCACAAGTCGCTAAATCCAAAGGACAGCTGTGTCACCCTGCCTGCCCTCTTGCCTGCCTCTGGAGGCGCCTGCTTGGTCGGCTTGGCGACCCCACTCTCTCCTGCCCGGTCTCCTCTGCAGGCTCCTTCCTCACCCCCCTTTCCCATGCCAGCGCTCCCAGGCTCCGACCCGCACTCTTCTCCCTCACACTTCCCCCAGGGGTGATCCCCCTAACACGGCCTCACTTTCCACCTGGACATTGATGGCTCTCCCATCTCTCTCTCCAGCTCTGACCTCTCTGCTGTACATCAACTGCCCCCTCAGCATCTCCCCTGGTGGTCTTCAGGCACCTCACCCACCACGTGCCCAGAACCATGTGTCCGTGTCCCCCCTACCTATACCCCCTCCTCCTGGGTCCCCATCTCAGTAAACGGCACACACACTCCCAAGACTGGCCAGGCCAGCAACCTGGGCTCCATAACTCGGTGCCTCCATTTCCGTTCCCCTTCATATTCAATCCATCACCTCAACCCGTCAATGCTACAGCCAACGTGCGCTCCAAGGAGGTCTACCTCCCTCTCCCCACTAGCCCTGGCCGCCATCCTCCCTCCTACACCGCTGCACCCTTTCTTCACAAAACAGCCAGAGGGAGCCTTCCCAAGATACGTCTGGTCCTGCGGCTCCTCCCAGCCTAGGACCCCATTCAGAGCTCCTCTCCCTGCTCTCAGCACAAAGCCCTGCCCCTTCACTCAGAGGGCACAGGAGGCCCAGGGCACCTCTTGGCCCAGGCCCCCCTCCAGCTTGTGTCTCATCACTTCTCTCTGATCCCAGGCTCCCTGCCGCACTTCCTCACAACCGCACCAAAGGTCATCCGGTGCCTATGAGTCCCTTTCCTCCGGCCTTCTGCCTGCCCCAGCACCCGCCCCTTTCAGCTGACCAGCTCCTCTGCTCCTTTGCCAAACCACCCCCTCCTTCGGAGCCCTCTTCCACATCCCTGGGCCTGGACGTCCCACCCACTTCTCCTGCACTGCACTTGTCAAGCTGTGTGTACTGTACTGGCCTCTTCACAAGTCTCCCCGTTACCCCCATGAGGGAGGGACTGCGTCTACCTCATTTGCTGGTATATCCCCAGAACCTAACACAGCGCCTGCTCAGTAAATACTCATCAGACTCACATAAGAAAGCCAAGCCACGGCCTTCTTTCCTCCCGTCTGCTGTAATCAGACTCTTGGTCTTGACGTTCCCACTGTGAGTCCCTGAGCACAAAAGTTCACTAGTTCAGCCTGATGCTGTGGTCTCCCCAAGGATGCCGCACATAGCCAG